GTAAGAAACGTACATAACATGTTAGGAAAGTCTTCCAATTTTTATATTTGAATCGCAGTTTAATTACAGTACTTGATTTATATTTGATTTCCAAGATAATATTTTCTCACAGAAGACTAGGTACAATACTTTTACAAACATAACATGTGTGAAGGATTAATGCATGTAACAATTAGATTTTTAGGAAAAAAGTCAGCAGCAGAACACGAGGAATGTAAAATGTGAATGCTCTTTGTAATGTATTATATAAAAGTTATAATGCAGTTCATAATCTTCCAAAAAAAAAAAAAAAAAAAAAAAAAAAAAAAAAGAGCTCTTAAGTGGTGAGACTGCTGAACACTAATAGTTAGGTTTATATCTTAACAAACGTGAATTTGGACACATTTTTCTCAGCTTATCTGGTCTAATGTTTTCCATAAAATGGTAAATGAAAAACAAAGTATTTGTACCCAATATTATATCTGATCTGCAAACAAGATTACTGTGGCTGTGGAAACCGACATGCTTGTGAAATTGTTATGTGTCGTGTAGATATTACACAAACACTTCAGCCAGAATACTCTGTCAAGCAGTATGGAGATAGGTACCAAATAACCAAATATGCACATATCAAACATTTGTAATTGTGTATTTTAAAGTTATAGACTTCCAATACGATTAGAATTTATATTTCTGTAACACATACTTAATGAATCATCCTTGAAACCTACTTATTTTGCTTAAATCTACTTCCAAAATAATTAATTTTGATACAACCCATGGTTTAGAAAAATTAATGCTTCTGACAATCAAGAGCAGATAGATAAAAGTATGTCATACGTAACTGACAAAAACATGTAAAACATGTAAAGTAAGGCAAAAATAGCAGCTTAACATAAAATCTTGAGTCAGTTTTAAGAATTAACTGACATAGGACCTTTTCTTCAATTAAAAAAAAAAAAAAAGTTTTTATTCCTGGCTTTTTGAAGAACATATATCAAATAACCTTCGAAATTAATAAGAATTATTCAAACTCTGCATCAGTCTAAGCTTTTTTGATTTATTTTAATCTTTAAATTCATGACCTGTCAAAATTTTGAATGTGACAACTATGTGTTTTTGAGAACCTGGGATCACAGGTGGATTTGTTTAAACACCATTCTAAGTTTTTCCATTACATGCCTGCAATGACTCTGCATGAAAACTCTACAAATTAAATTCGTCAAAAGCTTCGAAACATATGGTCATTTAAAATTACTTTGCGATATTGCTCTTGAACTGAATTTTATAGTTTAAGTGAAAAGAACATGATATTTAATAAATAAAGGTAACACACAAAACGTTAAAAAAAAAATGCCCCTTTGGACGTAATTTAAAATCTGAAACCTTTCAGTTTTTTTTTTTTTTTTTTTTTTTTTTTTTTTTTTTTTTTTTTTTTTTTTTTTTTTTTTTTTTTTAGTTTGGTTCTTGCACTTTCAAAGAATCTCTGAAAGCTAACTAAAAGACATAAAAGAACAAGATAGGGACCCAAGCAATGAAGTGACAATATTTACGAAAGCAAAAGACAGACCCAAGGTTCTTTAATATACTAAGGTTAGGCCAGGAACGGAAAAAGCGTGCCATTGGTTGCTGGTAGTGACGTCACCCGGGAGACAAGACGCATCGGCCGACGCGTCTGCTACATGATTTTGGTAATGGAAAAAATGTAAACTAAAGCAAAATGATCATTTTATATGTGGTAGATACACCGGAAATACCGGGTATATACTTTCCGATTAAGTATTTTGTTAAAGAAAATGTTTATTTTATGCACAGAATTCGTACGAATGCTGAAAATAATTGTAAACATTAAATTCTTTTCGTAAAGGAAAGCATTAGAAAATGAAAAAACGATATTTAAGTTAATTAAGGGAAATAAATATTGTAAAACAAGGTATTTTTCAATATTTTTCGTAGTATTGTTTGCACTAAATAAATCTTGTTGAACAGAACACATGATGGCATAACTGCTAAGACCATGGTAAAAACATAATCAAAAAGTATTATTCTATTTAATTTCATTGCTCATGCATTTTTTTAAATACAAATGAACTTTGACATTCCATGAGAAATATATGATCGTGATTTTCAGTTATTTCAGTCAGACCCATGGAGGTAGGAAGTTATTCTTACCTCCATGGTCAGACCCAAGATCTCTCTCCCCCCTTCAAACGTGTTTCCCGCACCGGGGTGGGGGGGGGGTCTACCACCGGTCACCACCTGTTTCCCAACTTCTGTACCCTATGAGTTCTAAATATAGCATTGACCCATTATCACACAAAGGAAACTATCTTTCTTTTAAAGTACACCCTTTAAGTTTTAGTTGTTTAAGGTCGTTTAAACATCTAACTTCTCTACATTCAGTTTTATACACAGAAAAATACAGATTCAATTCTTCGAATAAATTCAATTTTGTACAATGAAAATGTATTATTCTACGATAAGCTGTAAGGCAAATAACATCTTTTTTTAAAGCCACAGGAGTAGAAAGCCAGATATTTGTTACATCAATTAATTTGTAGTAAAAATCGAATGCTATGTTACATGTGTGCGAATTAGCTGAGTCTGAACCGAAATGGCTTTCAACTTTATCACGCTTAAGGACTGTTTTTCAATTACATTGTGGTCGCTGCTTTTTGGTTTAATTTTCTAATGACATATAAACATTAAATTGTTTTTATTTGAGACTTAGGAATACAATAAAGCAAACTAGACTGCTGAAAATTCTTCAGAATGAGGTTAATAATATGGAAAAATACATTATTTATGCACTTTTGGGTTTTATATGTGGTAGTTAATATGGAATCCTTAAATTATATCCGTATATCTATGTATAGGTAATTTATAAATGGAACATAATATACAACAAGGTATAAAATATAAAAGCAAAATATCTTTAATGTACAATGTTCATTACCATACGTGTATTTATGTAATGTCAAAATAAATGATTAGTTAGGTTTCGTACAGATATACTTTATTTTCATATTTTGCATTTTTTGTATTATATTCAGTACTGTATACGTATGTAAAGTTTAATTTTACCTGTTCTCCTTTTGGGTTACAACTTTAAGTCAGAAAGAATTGTTAAGGCCTTCATAGGGATTAAATTATGTACAATCAATTAAGATTCGACTTTTCCTTTCTTTTAATAATTATATATCTAATACAGTATTTTATAAGTATACATAAAATATAGCAGGTTTTTAAGCTACTTATTTATATATGCATTGTTTGGTCTGGTTTGCTTGATTATATCTCTTCTGAATAAAAAATCTGTTCTGAATGCATTTTAAATCAATTTTATAAGCGTCCTTTATTCTGCTCTTACGTACAGATGTCATACAAAAACATCGTTAAATTGCATTCGATAGCGGTCAAAATGGATATTTTCGCTGAAATATGGTACCCGGAATTTTTCGTGATTCCAGTACTTCCTTTACTTCGCATAAGGAAGTAAAAATCCAGCGTACTAGGACCCACCCAAAAATTATAAAACTACTTTAAAATGAATTCTGAAGGGAATTTTTCGTGGCGTCTGTACGTACGTACGTATCTCGCATAACTCAAAAACGAGTAGCTTCAGAACGTTGAAATTTTGTATATAGGAGTGCTATAAACATGTAGATGTGCAACTCGTATTTGGTTGCAATCGGCCGCACACCAAACGTATATAAACTATATTTATATATATATCCACTCTGTTACCCGGCTCAGTGATCTCAGTTTCTTTACTTTTACATGTTTGTAAATTGTACATTTTTTTGCTTTAAAAATGATTGAATTATGTTGTTTTTATCTTCCGGTTAAGGATTTATGGCTTTAGTAAATCTGTGTGCAATATTTTTAGAATTATCAGCAATTTTAAAGTTGTTTAATTGCCGCTAAGCCTTTTTCTAATGGCGGCCATTGACGTTTACATTTGAAACAGGAGACTAGTGGATTTGTTGCCAATCTAGAGAAACTTAGCTTCCCAACAACAAAGATAACGCATTCATTTATTATTGCCAATTAAATCATGCTTAATTCTTTCTAAAATTTTTTCGAGGAAATAAGTGTTTAAGATTTACTTCGTAATTTTTAAAATAGATATTTTGAGTTTTTCTGTATTTTTGCCTTCTCGCGAAGTGAGAACTGAATTAATTCAATAAGAAATACTCAATCGTCTGTGAAAAACTGTTTCTTTTTTGTTTTCTTTGCTTAATTTCTTTTATACATCATTCTAGCTTTATTATAGTATTTGAATAGAACATGTGGCAACGATTAGATAATTCTATTCTTTAAATGATATAAATTTTGTGCATTATGAGTTATAATATGAACGAAATATATAAGTTAACTGTTATATAATTATTGGATTAATAACAGTTAACTTAGTTTCCGTTATATAATTATTATATAAGTTAACTGTTATATAATTATTAATACTATTAAGTGAATCTAGCGCCGGAGTGTCGCTATGGTAAACAAATACTAGAGTGAATTTTAAAGAATGCACTTATCCTATTGTGGTTTATGCGCTGTCGGCGAAGTAGATTTAATTCAATCCAATAAGTTTAAATGAAATGCAAGAAAAAAATGCGTATAATTTAATATTCCGTACAAGGAAGTCATGTGGTGTACACATCAGATTTTTTTTTGATATTATACTATAAATATTTCTCCTTTCAAAATATTATAAACAGAATTTAAATTAGTGACCAAGTCACTGAGAATTTTGTACTACAAGAATTTGAAAGAAAACGAAATTATCTGCGAACACTTATTCTCGAAATTTGGTGATATTTCAGTTGATCTTCAAGCCCCAAGTAGAGTAATAGGCATGGAGGTGGGAAGTTAACCCCATGGTAACACGGGAGGGAATATCTTGAACGTCATTCGCCATTGACATTTACGAGGACCAATAAGAAAGTATGGTAGAGTGGGGAGAAGAATCTTTTAGGAGTAATGCCAAACGGGTTTTCTTCTGCACTTGTGCTGCCTTAAAGGAAGGTTCGTGCGAGGCCTTCGCAGGCTCTGAATTTTAACTTATCCTGCAGATCTGCGTGAAGACACAAGAAAGGTGTGCATTTTCTTCGAATTGCTTTGAACTTACAAAGCGGGGTCCTAAATAGGAGAGTGAATTTTGAAGGCACATTTATCTACAACTTACTCATGGCGTCAGTGAAGGATATGGAGTTCTGGGTCGTCGATGGCAGTTCCATAGAGTACTTGGACCTAAGAACATGCGAATTTCAACGTGAGAAAATACCACGCGTAGTTTCCTCTTTTGATCTGAGTCTTCGATCTACTCCCCCGACTGCCCCTTATGTGCCATTGATTCCAGTTTTCGTAACAAAGTCGGGCAGAAAGAGTGTTTCATTCCCTGATTGGACAACCACGGTTTTTTTCGACTTCAGCAGAAGTATATTACAAAAACTTGAATTGATCTGCGAGGAAGATATAGCAAAGTTGTATGTAAGTCATTTGAGAGCGTTCTGTCATTATGTGGCGAGATCTTTTTATCCTGCTATGTGCTTTTCAATCAGTTTATCCCCGCAAAGGAAGTGTAGATCTCTCCGAACATCCAGGATAAAGTTAATCAACTCACTTAAACTGGAAGCGACATGGAAGCTAGTAGAGATTCTCTTCGGCAAAGTTCGTTTAGATTCTGGCGTTATCATGGATATCCTGGACCCAATATGCTCGTGGAAAAAATTAGCACAGATTTCCCTTAAGAGCGATCCTGCCATAACGGATTCTATTTTATCTCATCTTCGAAGGAATCAACGTTGGGTGACGACGGAGGAGTTGATAAAATTTTTTTCTTCGAATTACGTGAACGTAGCAAGACCAAAACATATTTTGGTCTTCCTTAACCATGGATTTAAGAACATGTATAATCCTGTGTCAGGCGACACTCTCTTACTTTGGAGGATTTCAAGCGATCGAAATATAAAACCCCGTTTTCGGTAAGTCCTTTTCTTGTATATTTTTCGGATCATTAATGGCTGTCTTTATCCAGCTGACCGTTGAATGGTGGCAATTTGATTCTGGCTCGATTGTATAAGTGTTTCTATTTATTTTGTTATTATTTCATGCCTAACGTAAGCATCACAAATGAGTCCCCCAGGAAAGATTTCTGTCTTTCATACGTTGCTTTCACATATTTGGTTAAAATAAACAAATCACGATTTTTTTTTTTTTTTTTCCCCACCTCAGCTATTTCTGCTACAGAAAAACTCTGATTATTCGATCTCTTGCTATTCTTTTTACCGAAGGAAATTAAGCTTTTTGTTAACTCATTTGTATATTTTTTATTTTTCATTTTTCAAAGTAACGTTAAAAAAAGATAATTTTATATTTATATAACGGGAATCAGAAGCGTACTCAGTGGTTGCACTGGGTGCCTGACCTCCCCCAATATCGCCGAATTATTCCAAAAACGATAGCAATTTAAAAAATTTCTGATCCATAAAAATTATAAGTAGGGCAAAGGGCGTTAGACCAAGAATGCTATTAATTTCGTTTTGGCATTTTGCATTGAACACTTTAAATGTCGGTTCACTTTTCAAATTGTTGCCACCAAATATTAGCACCTTGTGTTATATTTAAAGAAATTAAATAATGAAAAATCTGCATAAATGTATGTATGCGTCTTGCATTGCGATAAAACAACAGTACCTGGAGCCGAAATTTTGAAGAACCTTAATCCTCAACCGAATATGGGCATCTGGAAGCACTAATTTGAATTTGTTTTATTATCTATTTCATATTTTGTTAGGCGTTAAAGAATTTTTGATTAACAAACTCAACGATTTCAAAGCCAGGAATGGCAACCCTACGAAAAAGAAAACATTTTTATCGCCTCATTTTAAAATTATTTTGCGATATTGCTGTTGAACTGAATTTTATAGTTTAAGTGTGAAGTAACTGATATTTAATAAAGAAAGGTAAAACACGAAACGTTAAAAAGGTGTCTTTGAGGGGACTTTTGTTTTCGTTTTGCGATTTTCATTCGAATCACTGTAAAGTTTTGTTTCACTTTTCAAACTGTTGCCATCCAATATTATCGGCCTATATTATATTTAAAGAAATTGAATAATGAATAATCTCCATAAATGCATGTATGTGTTCTCGCGTCCTGATAAAACGACGGTACCTAGAGCTATCCAATTTTGAATCACGTCATCCTACTGCAATTACGGGCATCTGGAAGCCCAAATTTGGAATTTGTTTTATAATTGATTTCATATTTTGTAAAACTTTAACGAATTTTTGATTAACAAACTGAAGGATTTCAAAGCGAGGAATAGCAACGTTGTACAGATGAAACATTTTTATATCTGCGAGACTCTGTATCGGACTAAAGATAGGCTCATTTTAAAACTATTATCCGGTATTGCTTTTGAACTGAATTTTATGGTTTAAGTGCGATAAACATGATATTTAACAAATAAGGGTAACACACAAAATGTAAACAAAACAGCCGTTTTGACGTAATTTAAAATCTGAAAACTTTCACATGTTCTTTTTTCTTTAAAATGAAATCAGAATTAGGTTTATGGTTTAAGTGTGATGATGATATTTAATAAATAAATGTAACACATAAAATATTAAAAGACGCCCTTTTGGATGTAATTTAAAATCTGAAACCTTTCAGATTCTTATTTTATTTATTGTTTATTCTTATTATTAATTTAATTATTTTTATATTTTTTATTTAAAAGCAGAATCGATCTTTAAATTTACCATAGATCAGAGAAACTGTTTGAGTCTTGGCGCTAATTCAACTCATTATCCGATTTCACGTAAAGCGGAATGGCTTTTTTTCTTAGTTATAAGACCTGAAATCAGAACTAAGCGCAAATGAGGATAAATTCTACAGTGGGAGTGGGGGAAAGAAAAAGAGCATTCTTTATTCAGTCCCACAAACGTCATAAAAAATATGGAGTCACAGAAAATCATAAAGGTAGGAAATATATTCACTTTCATCATTCTTAGGACTCCAGAAACTATCTCCTTCCTCGTTATATTGCCCACCAGCGGTCGAGCGGTAACGTCGCTGAACACTGGTAGTTCGGTCTGAGGTTCGAATCCCGCGAACAGGCTGGCTGCATGGGTGTTTTCGTGGTTTACCTCATGTGTAACGTGTATACGAGCCAGTTTTCCTTAGAAAGTCCTCCACGAAGGCATCCCTCCCTTAAGGCAGATAGCCCTCGAGTGCTTTGCCGTAATCTAATAAACCAAACCAATCCTAGTTATATTAAACATTTAGGGTTAGGAAATTCGGTTTGATCACTCGCCAGTTAAAAGAATATTTTAGAAGTGAGAACGAAATTATTTAAGTTCTGTTTAACTACATTTTGCCGTATTAAATCATCTTTATCATCTTTATCTTAAATCATCAACATAACAAACGTGTAAAAAGTTGCTTTCTGATTAAGCAAGCAATGTAAATTGATATTATTTTATCACCTTTGAATTTTATTTCATAATCAATTTTTTTAAATACCTATCTTTCTCTTCTTTACCTTTTTTCTGATCAAATGTCTAAAATAAGTGTAATTTCTTTAAACTTCAGAAATTCATCCAAGTATCTCTCTTCACGTTAATAATTTTTTAAATATTCACTAACTCCACATTCTTTTTAGCCAAAAGCCCAGAAAGGCTATTAATTTGGGTTTGACATTTTGTGTTGCTTCATTGTAAACGGCGTTTCATTTTCAAACTGTTGCCACCCAATATTACATTCCTGCATTATATTTAAAGAAATTAAATAATGAAGAATTTGCATGCATGTATATATGTTTCTCGCATTGTGATAAAACAACGGTACCTAGAGAAATTAAATTTTGAATGACATACTCTACCACTCGAATATAGACATCTGGAAGCCCGATTTTGGAATTTAGAATTTGTTTTATAATCTATTTCATATTTTGTACACCTTTAACGAATTTTTTGATTAAGAAACTCAACAATTTCAAAGCGAGCAATGGGAACAATGCAGGGGGGGGATTTGAAAGGTTTCAGACTTTAAATTACGTCCAAAGGGGCGTTATTTTTGTGTGCTATCCTTATTTTTTAAACATCATGTTTTTCGCACCTGTGGGCCCACCAGCAGCCGAGCGGTAAAGACGCTGAATACTGGTAGTTCGGTCCGAGGTTCGAATCCCGCGAACGGGCTGGCTGCATGGGCGTTTTTGTAATTTTCCCCACGTGTAACGTGTATATACGAGCCAGTTCCTTAGAAAGTCCTCCACGAAGGCATTCCTCCCTTTAGGCCGATAGCCTTCGTGTGCTTTGCCATAATTAAATAATCCAAATCCAAACTCCAAATTTTCGCACCTAAACCATCAAACTCAGTTCAAGAGCAATATCGCAAAATAAGTTTTTTAAAATGAGGATATCTTTAGAATTTCTGATACACAGTCTCGCGCGATAAAGATAATTTTTTTTTTTTTTTTTAATACAAGGTTGCCATTGCTGGCTTTGAAATCCTTGAGTTCGTTAATCAAAAATTCGCTAAAGTTTTACAAAATATAAATCGATAATAAAACAAATTCCAAATTTTAAATTTGGGTTGTTACTGAACAGGAATGTACCCAAATTAAAAATGAGCATTTTAAATTATAATGTTGATTTGCATATATTTTATCTTGCATGTAAATAAATATATACTATATACCACTCTATAAGTATACATTAAAATAAAGCAACTTTTAAGCTACTTATTTATATATATTGTTTGGTCTGGTTTGTGTGATTATAGCAAAGCATTCGACAACTATTTTTCTAGGGTAAGGTTGCTTCAGTGGAGGAATTTCTAAGCAAAACTGACTCGTATACATGTTACACACGGGGAAAACCACGAAAACGCCATTACAACCATTTCGTTGACCGGGATTTGACACCCGAATCGACTTACCAATATTCAACGACTTTACCGCTAGTAAGCCACACACACACATCCATATTAAATTATAAAAATTATATTTATGTGTCGTTTAAAAAGTGTAATTCAGTGCAATTTAATCATAGAGCGTTATAAATATTGGGAAATCTCAGATCAGCGGCACTTGGCACAATTTTTTCCGCCATCTTGAATCACGAAAATTCACCATACCCTCGGCATGGAGGTTACCTCCATGACCCTCGGGGGGGGGAGCGACTAAATTTCAACTCAGCAGGAAAATTTGATTGGTCAACGGTACACGTCACATCTGACGTCAAAAGCGGGGTGTTTTAGATTTACCCCACCATGGGATTACCTGCCATTTTCGGTTGCTTGTTTTCTGAGCTCCGCAGTGATATTTTTTGGCGGGCCAAAAGTGTTTTTTGATAAAATATTTTAATTGGTAATTTAGGTATTGTTTGCTTGTAATTAAACACGTGATTACAAATTATTGTAAAGTATTTATTTTTGAGACAAACTTTTTGTAATCTATTTATTTTTCATATATTGCCTTTTGAGAACAGATAAATTTAGCGGAAATTTCCTTTGTTAAGCCGTGTTAGTTTCAGTCAAACATTAAATATTTTAATATCATATGCTACCATTTTTTGTGTCAAACATTAAATATTTTAATATCATATGCTACCATTTTTTTGTGTCAAACATTAAATATTTTAATATCATATATGCTACCAGTTTTTATTCATTTTTTAATATTTCTGATGACAAAATAAGTTTTTTATTTTCTATTGTAGTACATAACTTTTTGTTATAACAATGGAATATGAAAAGATAGCAGTATTTGAATTGAATGTATGTACTGCTGCAAAAAGTACAAAAAGAAAAAGGTTTTATATGAAACACATTCGGGAAGTACAGTACAAAGTACCTGTTGTGGCTGAAGGAAATTTGAAATGTCCTATTAATGCCTGCAATTTTTCATGTAGAACGTTTGAAGAGTTAAGAAATCACGCAAGAGATCAACATGGATACACTCTTAACTCCGTTGAAATG